CGATTATAAGGGTTTTTGTCATTTTTTGTAGACCCGGGACAGGTCAAAACCGGACGCGTTTGTCCGGGACAAACTTAATAATTCCGGTTTGCCAGAGAAAGAATGTAGATTTTTTTCAGTCCTTGACCGATACATCCTGGAAATAAATTGGAAAAAATTAATTAAAATATGCAAATCAAACTACAATCAAATTATATTTTAATTATATGTCATTCACAAATTTTGTTCTGCACAATTAGCTTGGTGTTGAGGTATTAATTTGAAATTAATAACCAGTGTAATGTCAGCACATTCTGGCTTGGAAGATTCATTAATACTAATTAAGATTCAGTAAATATGATAATATCTGCTAAGCAAGCTTGGTATACAGATATTAGCTGGGAGTTTTAGTTAATTTAAATTTCTGAGTTCGTGTTCATATTGTTCGATTTCCATCAATATCCATGAGGATACCTCCGCGTGGTTTGGGCTGGGCAATGTCACGTAAGTGATAGCTAACATCCTCTGATAAGTATTCCGGAAATAAAAGGCTCGTCCCGGGTGAACGTGTCCGGTTTTGACCAATCCCGGGTATTAAAAAATGCGTATATTTTTAATAATCGGAATTTATTAGTGCAACAGTTAGATGTTTTAGGTAGCTTAAGTTCAATTTCAAAGATCCAAAAGAATAATTGTAAATATGTTGCCGAAATCAAGTTTAAATCGCCGAAATGAGTAAACCGGGCTCGTTACCCATTTTAGTCACTTGGAAAAGGACAATCGGCGATAATCATTGAAAAACACAATATTTTGAGTTAAAATTCTCAGCGAAGGCCAATCTTGGGTTAATAAACTCTGTCCGTAAATTTCATGAAGAAAGAATGAGTATTTATTTCGTAATTATCAAATACCCGGTTATCAGTTTCGAAATTCCCGGCCCGGCCCGGGTTTCGCTACCCATTTTAGTCACACTCTAAATATAAGCATATTGAAACTGAAATGATATGATACTGAATTCATGTACTTTCAATTAATTGTACTATATCCTAAGGGCCTACAGAAATACATATTATAAAGAGATAAATTGCATACAAACTACAAAGATAGTGCAAAATAACACTATGCATTGATCATGCATCTTCCTTCATTAATTTGTTTTATTTGAGCATATTTTCCAACATTTTAATTAAACACTTTTTGTGATAAACATTAGTGTATTTAATGTTGTAAATTTTGGATTAACAGAAAAGTGAGAACTGAATGATATCAAAAGTAAGGTCATCATAATTTTATGGCACATGTGCCGGGGTTCAAGCTTTTACCTTATTTTTTGATTTCAGGTATACCTAAAATGAGAAACCGTCCAACTAGGAAAGCCAGTGCCAAAGAAGGTGCAGTAGTGCATGATGAGACAGGACCCCGGAAGTCAATCAAAGCCCGGAAGAGGAAATATGAAGATAGACAAATTAATGAAGGTAAGTAAAAACCAAATTATATCTATTGTCATTAAATTTTCGACTCCATATACTTATATTTTCCGTTTTCGTTTATTTTGTTAACTATAGTCGAATATTTACATCCACTGAATATTTTCTCCTTTATTTCTTAAGAAACCCCATTGCATTCATCACTGCATAAACTACAGTAGGCAGGTCGCCTGGTACAGATTTCTTAATCAGTGGCTGTTCCGTCAATGAAACGTATAAAGACGTTTGCATCATTAATACAATAATTAATCTTTTTAATCCTACTTTAATTGATTATTTAAACAGATATAAATATAAACAATAAAATGCTTTCTTTGTTTGTTTTTATTGGAATGAACGGTCGCAGCTATTGCAGAAAAAAAGGGGGAGTTTCGATAAGGCTGTTTTGCGGCCCCTCGAGAAATGTTATGAAATTGTGATATGTTGTAGATAAATGTCTTATCTTCATAAAAATATGAAAATAATTTTTACTGCACATTTACTGGTCACGTGATAAATAAAAGTTTAAATATACCCCCTTCCCTTCATTTTACGAGCAGGCATATTTATAACGGGATACTGAAGTTTTTTCAACGTCAAATCATAAATGAAATGTGATAAATGTGAATAAAGACATCAAATAACCAATTTCTATATTAATTTTACAGAAAATTGATAAAATTTATTTTTTGTGAATGTTTTTTAAATTGCAAGAATTTTCTCGACTTTTAATTGTAACTTTTCTTTAAAAGAGGGAGAATTTAACTTATAAAACATATATATACAATACAGACAGAAACATTTACAAGAGGAATTTACTGACAGTTTATATTTGAACATAATAATCAATTTATAACAGTTTTTCCGTATGTAGGGAGGCAAATGTATATAAAAAAATAGACATGAGATAGATCAACTTTGAGTGTAATTTACAGGTGTTTAGAACTGTTTGCAATACATTTTCATCAACTAAAGTTATAGCGCAAATTTTATTGTGAAATTATACAGTAATATTATTGAATTTAATTTTAAATCGTGCTTTGAAAAACAAATGGAAAAAATCAATATATTTTATCAAGATAACAATTATTTGTCCCCTACCGGTAAAAACAGAGGGACTACAGGTATAGGTTCCGTATCGTCTGTCTAGCTGTCCGTTCCCCTGTCTGTCAGTCTGTCCCATTTGGTTTACCGCACTTTTCTCTATAATGGCTTCCTTGCAAACTTTTATTTGATAAACTTGTTTTTAGTATTGATATGATTTTTTTACTTTAGGGGGGTGTCAATTTTTTTCCCGAAATGCTTGTAAATATTGTGCTAAGTTTTGGTAAATGAGTTAACCTCGAACCGGTGGGGAGGGGAGGATTTTTTCCCAAAAAAATGCTTGTAAATATTGTGCTAAAATTTGGTAAATGAGTTAACCTCGATCAGTAATAGATCATATTTGTATTTTGTTTTGCTTCAATGCTTTTTTGCGGAATTATTAATTTGGAATTTACATGTTTTTTTAATTACAAAAACCAGGTTATACTTGCAGGTAGAAAACTATAATTGTTAATGCAATACTAACTCGAATAAATAGCCGGATGATAAAAAAAAAATTAAATAGATTGAGTGTCTCCATTTCATTCTGAAAGTTAGAAGTATTTTTTAAAACAACTTAAAGATGAACATTATGTTCTCAGCAACTGAAACTAGGTTCTTGCTTTACCAATTTTAGTTACATTTAGTAAGTCCTTGTCCAGATCGCAGTTCAAAATACATTTATAAATGCCAAAGATGTGTTAAATCCCAAATTCTGCAGAAACATATAAATCAATATTTAGTCTTTAAAAAATTTACGTTTCCTGCTTAACTATCAACCACACGTAAAAAACATAACGAACCTTCTCTAGCAGATTGGAGCAAGTGTTTCTATTCGAAAAAAGGTTAATATGATATTTTTCTGATATATGTTTGATTCAGAACGTTAAGGAATGGACTAGCTTTCACTTCTTTCGTTAAATCAGACAGAAAATAGAAGTAAGATCTGGCATCTGGACCATTTCTGGTAATGTGCAACCCTAAATGTATCATCGGTGCATGTTTAGTCAACCTTTTACTCTGAGCATTCATCAATGAAATGTAAGTCAGACCCAGCATCCGAACCAAGTCTGGTACTGTTCATCCAAAGATGCATCATGAAGCATGTCTGGTCATCAAGTACTCATAGTGACATTGCAAAAAAAACTTTAACTAACTTTAAAAACTTTGACCTCGACACATATTAGCTTAAAAAACAGCATCTGAAACCCGACAGATGACAAGGAATTACTGTTCAAGGGACTAGATGATATAAAAAAAATATCTGCTTGAAAAAATTTTACTTGTGAACGCCAATGCCGACGGTATTAAGAAAACTCCCCCTTTTCCGTGTTTAATTACTAATTGAACTAAAAATATGACGTTAACGTTATATGCTGGCGACGAAATAAGTATGGAAATAAAGACAGTATCCGAAAATGTATTCTATTGTTAATATTTTCAAGAATTAACTTTGATTTTAAAAAATGTGCTACTTTTGGCTAAGTATTTTAACCTGGTGTATGATCAAGTAACCAGAAGGTTCTAATTTTAGGTATGCAAATTTTAGACAATTTTCAATTTTTGGATATGAATTGCACACGTGACACTCATCATATTGTAAACTATTAGTGTGCAGGGTATATCTAATAACTTGGCAAAACTAGATGAGTGTCCCTCATGCACTTCATATTCTAAAAATCGATTTATAAATGCCACCCCCTTATATTTTCCCATAGCATTTGCGGGTACATCTAAGTTTGTGTCGGCTACGGTGTGAATTTATCTCATATTAACTTTTGAAATATTAATAACAAAAATTAAGATATTCATCTTAAATTCTAAACAAATTTTGAAAAAATAAATTGAAATTTATTTTTATGAAAATAAGTGGGCCGAGAAACGGCATTATCGAAACTCCCCCTTTACATAACCTGCTTACGCGGGTTATGTATTTTTTCTGCAACAGCTGCTTCCATTCATTCCAGTAACAACAAACAAAGAAAGCATTTTATTGTTTAAAAGAACAAAGTGATAATTGCTTCTAACGTATTGTTGGTTAATTAACATGGGGATATATTTTTACCTAAAAATGGAAGGGAAAATTTCATATGTGTGACACAATAAGTGACAATTGTAGATATACATGTTTACGAAAAGAACATTCATCTTATTTTAAATGCTAATGTCATCATTGCGTATAGAGGTAAATGAATGGGCAGATAGGTAGGCAAGATGCCGACATTACAATGAATGGGCAGATAAGTAGACAAGATGCAAACATTATAATGAATGGGCAAGATAGACAAGATGAAGACATACCAATGAATGGGCAGATAGTTAGAAAAGATGAAGACATTATAATGCATGGGCAGTAAGGTAGACAAGATACCGACAAAATGATTCCTTACTGAGACGACACATTAAGCTTACAATTATCAGAGTTTTTAAAAAAACATAGAAGACCTGGGTCTGTAGTTTCTGCTTGCCTGTTATTTTCTTATATTTTACATCGCAAAATTTTATTTAATTTTACATTTTCAACATTTTTAACGAGGAAAATATCTACATATAAAAGAATATAGTTTTAACACATGGTAAATGTCATACTTTTAGTTAACACCCCTACAAAAGACAACAAACAAAGAAAATTACAAAATGATCATAGTACGAATAGAAAGGCATCAACATCGATAAGAGGACCTAGAAACCAGTCTATGGCGAAAGGAAACCCTAGAAGAAAGCGGAATAAAATGCATGATGAAAAAATAAAAAGATCGCTGAACAAATCTGAAGAAATTACCACACATAAATCAGTTTTGCAGACAAAGGAACCTAAGAGAGTAACTAGGTCTTCATCTAAAAGTGCTGGTAACAGTAAAAAAGGAGTAAACAAGGACTCCGATTCCAAACTGAGGCAGCAGATAAAAGGAACTCGAGAAAGGAAGAGGCGTCTTCCGAAACAGACCAACAAAACGAGAGAAAATAAGCAGCCAAAGACCTCTAAACTCCAAGGTAAAGGCTTTGTTGTTAAAAAGTCTAATCCAAAGAAAGAAAAAGAACATCGTCAAAGTACACAAGCTGAAAGAATGAAAAAGTTAAAAGCAAATAAAAACAGGGACATTGTTAAGAAAAAGGAAAGCAGCTTGATAAACAAAACAAAGGATATTGAAACATCGACAACTCACACTTCTGATGAATATTTTTCTGACTTATTTCTTAAGAAAATCTCAGTACAGCATCA